CATTCTCATTTGGAGAATCCCATCTAAAGAAATTACATCTTCTCATATGATCTGGTCCACCAAATTTGCTACATGACCAAAAGAATCGTCCTTTATTTGGGGTGTTTATTTTAACCTCCCGAAGAATTGGTTCAAGATCACAATCACATTTTATATTGTATCTCCTTTGCTGCGGATCATTTTGTTGAGACGGGTGGTTTGCGATAAATGCGGTCGTGTTGGTATGTTGCGACGTTGAGATCGTATCATTCGCAATCGATTGTAAGGTGGGAATTATTCGTTCTTGTGGAGCCGATTGGCTCCTCGGACGTAATTGCGATAATGATGCAGTTGTAACATTTCGTGAACCGGAATCCCTATTGGAATTTTGGTGATCAATTGCTTTACCGTTAATGACCTCCATATAATGTATGATTTTTTGCACTGTGTCACGAGAAAAAAATGCAAGTGTATTTTTGCTGTAAATAAAGTAAATTTTTTTTTTTTTAAAAAAAAAAGGAAATTTTCAACGAAATATAATTAGTGATGTCTTTATTTTGGTCCAAAGATTGATTCTTAAACAAAATTATTTTTATTATTATAAATATTTTATTTTATAAAAAAATAATACCGATTCCCAAATAAAAAGAAATCTTATGTAAGTGCTTGTTTTGGTATAAGGTCAAAGAGAAAGACGGTCAGAGAATTTATTTCTTGTATTTATATGAAAAGCATTTTGAAAAGAGAAAAGGCAATAATTGAAATGGTATGTGGTTTATTATTTGAAATATCGACAAAAAACGGAAATGTTGTGTGACGCTTGGCTTGTGTCAATAATGCAAGGCGGCTGATTGTTAAATGAAAAGAGAAGTACAAGATTGGTTTCGTTCTTTATTCCATAATTACCTAAATCAGTCAAGTAAACAACCTTGCGACACTATGATAAAATCTATTGCCTTAACAAGCTTGGTATGATCAATATAATATATATATATATATATAGGATTTACAAGTCCGCTATAAAAAAAAACGTTTTATTATACCGTTAGTTTTAAAATTTTCTCAAGGCGGGTTATACAGAAAAAAAAATATCCAAAATCTGAAAACAGCAAGCAACAAACATCAAGCACCAATTATATTTCGATCGTCAAACACGACAAAAAATGGAGCCAAAATATTTGTTCGACTGCGACCCACCGTCATCGTTATTGGAATGTGTTAACTTGATATTATTCAAGTCGTAAACAAATGTTATAAAAATTGTTAATTTTACTAAAAGTAGCGGGTTTTGTTATTTCGGTGTAACTCATGGAATAATTATTAAATTCCTTGTTATGTCATTCTGATTAAATGTCACAGGTACATTCAATGATTAATGAATTGGGTTTTGAAATATTTTATTGGGGTTTTTATAGTAATCTATTTGGATGATGTAATCATCTATACAAAAGGAAATTTTGAATTACATATTGATCAAATTCAACAAGTTTTCCAAGTGTTAAGGGATGCACAATTATCCATAAAACTAAAGAAGTGTTATTTCTATCAACCTTCACTTACTTTTCTTGGACATAAAGTTGGACATAAAATCAAAGAATTTTTAGAACCAAAGAATTTAACACAGTTATGTGTCACTTTGGTATTATTAAAAGTATATAAAGGATTTTTCAAGTAGCACTAAAATGGTTAAAGACATCTAAAATGCCAAAAGGAAGACATGCAAGGTGGATAATGAAATTACAATAACATCATTTCACTATTGAAAATAGAGCAGGAAAGCATAATGCTAATGCAGATGAAAAACAACCAAATGAGTGTTATATGATTGGAATAATCAATGATACTAATATTGAAGGAGAATCTCAATAGAATAATAATACTTTAAGTGAAAAAGAAAATGAATAGCACATTTCTTCAGAAATTGAATTTAAAATGATAAATAATGTTAGTTTAAGAAAGAATTATTACAACAATTTTCCAATATTCCACTAATCATAATAATTGATTACAAATTCTTAAAGATAAAATGGAAATCTACCAAACCAACATAAAAATCAAACAAGTAATTGCTAACCAACCAATTACAAAGGGAGAATTGCAATGTATTTTTACATATGATAATGAAGACCATCATATTCATACTTATTGCAAAATGTGCAAAAGAAACTTATTATATGAAGTTAATATTCATGATTATACGATTTGGTATTGGCCTAGTTTAATTCAACCTGATATGATCAAACTTTTTTATTGATTCATTTGTAGAATGAACCATTTGTAATCCAAATAAAAAATAGTATCTTTTATTTATAATACTTACAAAATATCTTTAATAACTATTAAACTTGACAAATTTATTTCCTTTATAAAATCATAATCTTATTTTTTATTTCTATTATTCAAGTAAAACTAAAGTGTTTATATTGTGATAGGCAGCTCAAATTATTTAACCATAATGGAAACTACTCAATATTATTATAACCTTTTATATATTTCATTTTAAACATTTTTTCTTCTACATTTAATCCTCAATAAATTAACAAATTAAAACATTAATCAATGTTTTTTAAAACCAAAAATGATTTATTATACAAGGAATAAAGAAACAATACTAAATGATTACTAAAAAGAATTAAAGTATCAGAATTAGAAGTTATACTTTATATAATGCATAATGATTTAACAGCTGAACATTTTTCAACTGATATAATTTTTAACAAATTCATACTAGATACTATTGGTTTCAAATATATGAAAATATTAGAGCATACGTACAATCTTGTGATGCTTATTAAAGAAGAAGAAGGTTTAGAGATAAGAATGAATAAAATCTTATTATAGTAGATTCACCTTTTTATAGAATTAAAATAGATTTTGTTGGATCTCTACCATAAACTAACAGAAAAAACAAATATATTATTGTTATGATTGATTATTTTATCAAATAACCAGAAGCTAGAGTAGTAAGAGATGCAACTGTTAAAAATGTTATCAAATTTTTTATATTAAGATATTATTTGTTAACACAGATATTCTATAAAGACCTTAACTGATAGAGGATCTCATTTTAACAATCAGCTAATTATTTAGTTAATGGATCAATTTAATATTTAATCTAACTTATCAACTTTTTACCAACTTAGAACGAATGGATTAATGAAAAAATTCAATAGAATTTTGTGTCAATCTTTAGCTAAATTAGTAAAAAATCTACTCAATAGGACTAATATATTTTAACAGTATTATTTGCTTATCATACAAGTAAGTAATCATCCATAAAAGTTTATAGGCAAATGTAATGTTATCAAAATGATATTTGTACTAATCAAAATTTTTCTTTACAAAATCAAATTGATTATTTGATTAACAAACTGTTCCTAGTATAACAAGAGACAAAGACATAAATATATCTTGTATAACAAAAACAAAAAAAATATCATGACATAAATATAAGGATCTCTGTTACATATAATATTGCAAATAAGGTTTGTGCTTTAAAACTGCAAATAATAAAACACATTTAGAAATTAGATACAAAAATGAAACGGACTTTATTACATCTATCAGCTGTTATTAAATAAGTTATACAAAATAAGAGAAATAAATGATTGTGTATTCTGTATTCCAGTAATTAAAACCTTTTAAAAATATATAAAGATCCTCCATTTAAAATACACTTTAAAATTTTTTTTTTCTCTCTCATCAAATTATTTTATTAATGGAACAACTAATTATCAAAGATTTGAAAAAGACTTTATCTTTAGAAATAGCACCTGCTTTTTCCCCTTATTTACTGAAATTGATTTACAAAGAAAAATTCTGGCAACATATTGAATGCTACTAAGATTAACAAAATTAAGGAATTGAATATTCATCTTAACTAATGCCTACTACTTGTGACATTTACTTGAAACTGAAATAACCATACTATTTTTAATAAGTTAATTAAGAGGACTTCTTACATATATTACAGTTTTGTATCAATTCAAACATACTATTTGTTTAAAATTTTAGGAGTAGATCAAATTCAACGAACCAAGAATTTGACTTTATAAAAGATTTATTATTTATCAAGTATCTCCTATTAATCTATAGTTGATAAAGCTACTAATATTTAGGCAGGAAAATTAAAAGCATGATCCATGTTGTGTCAATCTACCATGTGATTAATTTGGTTAACTAATCTGACTATTTGACAAATTAGACAAATATAATAAAGTGGTCATATTTAACTAATTACCATATTGTTATATGTGTTATATTATTAGTTTACATAGATTAGTTGTATTTATTATATTTATCATATATTATTTACTATTACTTTATTTTATATAAATACTCTATAGCTTTGACCTGCTAAATAGCAGAGTTCATTACCAATCTCTAATAAAATAATAACATTTATCTTTTAAACATTGTTTCATTTCTAATTCAATTTTTTTTTAATTTTATATTGATAAAGATGATATAACCTTTTAAAATAACTAATTATTTCTTTTATAATTTATTCTATACTTCCTATTTACAAATATATTTTGTATTAACTTAACAACAAATCATAGAAATTTAATAGTGTTACTAATATCATTTAAACTAAAGATAAAGTTATAATTAATCTTAAAATTTTTAACTAGTTGCAATTGAATTGCAACTCTTTGAGTTGTAGCTATTTATGAATTTTTATATTAAAATAAATTTTACAAAAAGTTGCAACTTACCAAGTTGTAACTTTTTAATTATAGTATAATTTTTAGTTAAAACATAATAAAGAAATAAAAGCTAAAAAAAATATTTTAATAATTTATAATAAACAGTAAATTTTTAAAACTGTTGTAATATATATTAAAGAAATATTTATATAGATCATTTTTGAGGGAATAATAATAATATTTGCATTATAGTAGATGAAAGTTTTGCTTGTTAAATTAAAAATAATAATATTTTCTTTCAAATTTTTCTGTGATTATATTATTAGTAATTATTTTCTTTTTAGTTAATAGAAAGAATTTTATAAAAATAAGATATAAAATAATAAGAAATATAAAAACAAAAATAAAATACAATAAATGCTTTTGAAATAATCATAATTGTTAAGAAAACTTTTACATATATTTCAATAGCTTAGTTTATACTAAAGATAGTTCCTATAATTATTTTCAAATTTCAATTGAATTACAATTTAATTGTGTTATAAGAAAATTTTTAATTGTGCCATAAGTTGCAATTCAATAGCACCATTTTTTTAATTATAGTATTTATCTTTAGTTTATATATATTTCAAGTTTGTGAAATATTTGACTAAAACTAAGCAATAAACTCTGTGTCAAATTTATTTTTCTTATTGCTATTTTAAATGAGTTTTTTAGTATGAAAGCTTTTTGTTTCCTCAATATTTTAATCTAATATATGATAATAGACTCATAAAGATAAGAATCACCATAAATTTATTGTATTTTATCGAAATTAGGTATATAAGACATGTATTTAAATAATTACTCAAAAGTAATTCCATTTGTAAAGTAAGATAATAAGTATACAGATCAATCAATCAATCATAAATTAAATATTAATTAAATAATTATTGTGACTAAATATAACTGAATGCTATTGAATATGACTGATGAGATTGAAATAATTTTTGTGAAAATAGCTGTAAGTATATATGAAATTGAAATAGATCATTTCAGATATCTGAAATAGTTAAAATAAATGAAATAATATCATACCACATGATCTTTTATATTGAGAAAAATAAAAACCAAAAAATATACGATCTTTATCAATATTACTCCAATTCATATGAACTAACTAACATATGATTTCTCACAACTAAATAGATCTAAATAAGGTAACATTCATTGACTTCAGATCAGTCTATTTCAAAATAATCGCAATTATGTTATCAGATAAAATTATAAATTAATATTAAATAAAGTAGTTAAGATTTCAAAGTTAATCGCAAATATCTTAAAATAGTCTGATCTAAAATTAATAAATGTTAGCTCATTAGATCCATCTAGTTGCAAGGAAATAAATATTAGTTAATTATACAAATTAGAGTAATATTGATCAAGATCGTATATTTTTATTTTTTAGATTTTTTATATATGAAAATTATGCGATATGACATCATTTTGACTATTTTAGTTTTTCATTTCAAATATAACCTTCAAAGAAAAAACCTTTTAACTTTTGGATTTTAATTTCGATTTTATATATAGCATTAATTTAGTTTAAATTATTATACTAATTAAAAAATATATTATAACATTTTAAATAATTATAATTTTATTTAAATATTGAAAACTTTTGCATTAGAAGGATTTCAAGATAAAAAAATTTAAATAAATAAAAATTAAATATAATTAAAATTTTCTAATTTATAGATTATAAGTTAAAGTATTAAAATTAATAAAATTTAATTTATGAATCAGACTTAATTTAATTTTTTTTATTTAGTACTATAATTTTATTTTATAAATTGTATTTTTTAGTAATGTAATATAAATATTTTTTATACATAATTGGTATGTTTATTTATTTTTATTATTTTTATTTTAACTTTAATTATAATTTATTTAAAAATATATTACAGAAAGTAATTTATTTTTGATTATATTTTGTTTAATTTTATTTATTATTTTAATTATAAAAATTTAAAATTATATTTAATATTTTGATGATAAATATTATAATTTATAATTTTGTAATAATAAAGTATAATAGGTTATTATTAACTTAATTTATAATATATTCAAATTATTATTTATTTAAAAAATATTAATATTTTATATTATATAAAAAGTAAGTTATTTTAATTAAATTTAATATCTTTTTATTTACTTAAAATTTAACTAATCTTATTATATTTTAGTTATTTAGATTATAAGGTATTTTATTAAATATTATTTTTATTAAATTTAATTAATTTATTATTTTAAAAAATATTTTATTAATTATTCTTAAATTAAATTTTTATTTAAAAAAAAATAAACCTTATTTGACTCAATACTTACGAAGCATTTACTGTAATTTAGTTGTGAATTTCTTAACCTTTTATTTTTATTATTTGTCTATTAACAATTAAAACATATTAAAAGAGATGACTAAAAGTATTTTTAATAAATCAATAAACAATATAAACTAAACAACCATCTATTTTCTGATTTTACTATAATATTTTATTGATTAATTAATCAGAAAAAGTTAATATTACTAAAGACGTTCTATTTTGATATATATTTTACACTATTGCTTGTAAATAACAGGTCTTAACTTTGATTGTAACCATTTACATAGTTATTTAAATGTACTTATACCTACTAGGTAATAAACTTTATATGTATTTATTTATGCATTCTTAGTAAAGTTTATGGTATATTTAATTACTGTATATAAACAATATAATATACTATTATGACATGATATTAATCATTACAGTTTTGCATTTAACAAATTTAGGTCAAAAATTAATTGAATTATTATTTTTACATTTTAAAGGAATTGTAATATTGTTTAATACAAAAAGAGTATTTCTTTATGTTGAAGAAGATTTTTCATCAGAATTATCTTAAAAAAGGAAGCTTTAGTTTCTGTATTATATCATTAATTTTATTTTCTTTTTGAATATATTAATTAGTAATAAATTTAATGTATTAAAACAATGTCAATATAATAAATACTTTTAATAATTCTAAAAGTTCTAATTTAGCTATTTTTAATTTATGTTTTATTTTGTGAACGATATCTAAATACTATTAAAAAAAATTATATAAATCAAATTATAATTGTAAAATGTTAAATATATACTTAATCATTTAATCTAGCTAAATATTGATGTAATGTTATATTCATAATAGCTTGAAAATCTAATTCTTTATCATTTAATTTTTGTGCAATCCATTTTCGTAATGATTAACAACTTTTTTATTTGTATAATCATTGTCTATAATATTACAGATTTCTTTTAATATTTCATATAATTGATATTGCATAAAATATTAATCTCCATTTTTAATATCTAAGATATATTATTAAATTAATAAAATAAAATAATAAATAATATAATTACAATTAATTTATCAATAATTCTTACCTTTAATATCTTTATTAACATGAAGAAAAAAATTCTTTTCAGCATTTTTTGGTCTTAAATTTAAATATTTTTTAATGTTATAACATGCATTTTATAATTCTAATTCATCTAATAGAATAATATGTATAAGTGATTGATTAGAATTTGTTTGATAATAATAACCTCCTTGATGAGTTTTATTATTAATTGTAATAATATCAAATCCTTTATCATCACGTTCTTTAAATATAAGATCCTTCTTCTTGTATTATATAACATCCAACCCATAAAAAAATTTCGTAAATAATCTATCTGGTGTTTGATTTGACATATTAGGATGATTAAAAATCTTAATCATTTTTCATTTGTAAGAGTATCAGCACCATTATATTTGCTATTATTAATTTTTTTAAGTTCAATCATCCTAGTATGTAATGTATCATATATTGCCCTAAATTCAAAATCTTTATGAATATTAAAAGATTCTATTTCTTTAAATAATTCTTGATAAAATCGATTTATGATACAAATTTCATTAATCTTTTTTGTCTCTAGATTTAATAATTACAATAAATTCATATAATAATAATGCATTGACTTTCTTATCATAAAGAGTTAGTAAATCTATTTTTATTTGTATATTATTTACAAATTCTCCAAATCTGAAAAATCACAATCTTGTATTTTTTTTTAGTATTTTCAGATCTGAATGTAATAACATATTTTGTAAAGTTATTATAGAAGGGCATTTATATGTTTCTTTTAATTTGAAGTTTTATATATTTCTAATATTTTTGCTTTATCTAAAGTTGTAAATTTTCTTTTAGTTTATCTGCAATAGTAATATTATTCTTTGAATGTAATAACTCTGAAGCTTTTTAAAACCTTTATTCATATCTTTATATTATAAAATGAAAATTGATAGAAAGAGAGAGAAAGTGTAAATTTAGTTATTTAATGTTATAACAGTGTAAAATTTTAGCTAAAATCTGCTTACAAATCCAATATCAATTAAATGTCCTTGTTTATCATTTTATTAATCCTGATATTAATTTTATATTCTAAGATAATCAATGTAAAACATTGTAGATTCAGATGTCAATTTTATTTCCAGTGCAACAGGCAACTTTATTGACATGATCATCTTTGCTGATCAATTTTGTCAACTTTATTTTCTAGACAATGTTATTTTATTTTCATAGATATATTTGATTAGTTTATTTTATAATTATCAAACATGTATAAATACCTTTATATTTTTATTGAGAAATGATACCAATGAATAAATCCATCAATTAATATATACCTTAAGAAGGAGTAAGGATAATATTTCACTAATTGTAATTATTATCTTATGACCTTACGAGGTAGAGAACTTATAATTTATTATAATTAATAAAGCGTATAATTAACATAGTTAAAACTTATCCTTCGCAACCCTTTAACCTATATATATATTATTATTATTTATTAATTTTGCATAGTATTGTATTGATTTGTTGTATTGACTTAATGTGTAGTCATTAAAATATAAATCTCTAAAATATCTAGAAGTTACTCGTGTATAATTGAGAATATTCTTTGATATTTACTACGAATCTTTGTTTTGATTCTCTGAGTCTAGTCTTAGTATTATTAATTTTTGTAAATTTTATTTGAGTTGTAAATCAGACGTATAACGTTAACGTTAATTAATCATATATTATTAATATATTATAAGCAGAGAATATATTAACCAGGATATAACTTATATATATTATTAATATCTAAATAAATAGCAATTTTACAATTTTCTTTCATAAATCTAAGACTATAAAATTGGTGAATAAACATTAGATATGTATCGATCAACTTAAGAATAAATTTATAAAGGATAAAAAAGAAATAAGTTTATTAATAAATAATAAATAATACAATAAAATCAACTTAATGTCTCAGCCTGGTGTTTTGTAAATGTTCTAAGCAACATAGAACTATTTAATTCCATTCTGTTAAATTCTAACAAAAACTAAGTGCAAAACTAAACATTTTATAAATTTTTTCATCCATAGATTTGCTACAAAAATATCAATATAATTGCATATGAATTAAATGATGATGATTTAAGTGTCAATGATCGAACTGTGATGGAATCACTATATTACAGAGAATGTTGTAAATATCATACATATTGATTATTCTCTTTTAGAGTTTTAGTTAATATTTATTTATTATATAGAAGCTTTGCAATAAAAAGGGAGGAAACTCTAAAAAAATTAAAATTTTACTTTCTAAGCTAATTATGATTTTTTTTGTA